CTTTCTTTCTTTCTTTCTTTCTTTCTTTCTTTCTTTCTTTCTTTCTTTCTTTCTTTCTTTCCTTTCTTTTCTTAATCACTTTCCTAATTAAGTCACCAACTAGGTAGGACTAGCACTGATGACGTCACCTAGTTTGGGTAATGAAAAGGGAGGAGAATATTCTCCAAAACACCTGAAGGCAAAACAAGAAGCCGTGGATGAAATGAAATGCAATATTAAATGAAAGATCAATTTCCTAACGGTGAGGACAATGAACCAGTGGAACTGCTGGCCACCAGAAGTTGTGGGTACTCCATCCCTGGAGGTTTTTAAGAAGAGACTTGGATAGCCACTTGTCGGAAATGGTATAGGGCCTCCTGCCTGAGCAGGGGGTTGGACTAGAAGTCCTCGTGAGGTCCCTTCCAACACTGTTATTCTGTTCAGAGAGCAAAAGTGGAGTCGATCAAGCTAGCTTTGCCTGCAGGAATCGTGAGTGCTCTCCATCCCGGGTTGTTTTTCAAGAAAAGTCTAGACCGTCACCTGTCTGAAACGGTGTAGGACACAGAGGGTTGGACTAGATGACCTCCAAGGCCCCTTCCCATTTTGCTATTCTGTACCCCGCTGTCCACACATGTTCTTCGGGCTCCATCCAGGAGGGCCGGAAGGCGGTTATAGCAAAATCTTTGAAGGGTCATACAAGAGCGTTTTCCCTGGTAACTTTGAAAGAATGCAGCTATTGTTCAGGAAATCCCGCCTGAGGTTTGAGGCCACACGGTCTCCTGAGTCCAGGCCAGGAGGAACTTGCTCCGTCTTTACATCAGCCGCTGTGGCTGCAACGGTGACGGCTCCTCCCTAGGTACTGCGTGACTTTGGAGACCCTCCTCCTCCTCTCTGCAAACCCCACCCCTTTCTATACCAATGGTGTTCCCTAGTTGGGTCATGAAAGGTCTGCACGAAAGCAACCGAGCTCAGAGAGCACCAAGGACTCCACAGTCATTGTTCTCCTCCTCCTCCTCCTCCTCCTCCTCCTCCTCCTCCTCCTCCTCCTCCTCTCCACAAACCTTACCCCCTTGTGGCACTGAGGATGTTACCTAGTTGGGCCATGAAACATCTGCAAGAAAGCAACTGAGCTCAGAGAGCACCAAGGATTCCACCGTCCTCCTCCTCCTCCTCCTCCTTCTCCTCCTCCTCCTCCTCTCTGCAAACCCCACTGCCTTCTACACTGATGTTGTTCCCTAGTTGGGTCATGAAACGACTGCAAGAAAGCTCCCAAGCTCCAATTACAATCCCAAGGGCCAGACCCAGAGCTAGAAAAGGGGTCCGCATCCCTGCCAGCCGTGACTTTTTTGACCTAAAATGCCTGGAACTGACCTTAACCCTCTCCTCTCCGCTGTGCTCTTTCCAGATGAGCCTCTTGGCGCCAAAGCCATCCGCGGAGGCCCACGTGCCGAAAAGGCGACCGTGCTGTGAGAAAGCCTCAAAAGCGGGCGGCCCGGCACCCAAGCGCCCGCGTGTGGAGAAGCTTCCAGGGCCATCCCGCTGCCTCCAGCCCCTGCCTCAGTGCCCTCCGGCCACGGATGAGGGTTTGACCATCACTCAGATTGGCCCCTACATCCTTCTGGAGCCCACAGAAGGTGGATGCACCTACAGGGCTGTGAATAGACACACCGAGGCAGAGCTGACCTGCAAGGTATGAGACGGTGGGCGTAGAAGTGTGTTTCTTTAAGCTTGGCCTCTTTAAAACATGGACTTCAATTCCCAGAATCCCCTAACAAACAAAACATCCACCCACCCACCCACCCATCCATCCATCCATCCATCTATCTATCTTTATATTTATCAAACATCTATATTTATCATCTATTTAATATCTATCTATCTATCATCTGTCTGTCTGTCTGTATCATCTAACAT